ACTTGTTATTATAGTAAACCCATTTTACTGTTGGGTTTACTATATACATCTTAGATGGCCAGAAATGGTTAAAGCAGGTCTGTGACTTGCCCCAAGACTACAGATACAGTGTAATTGGGGGCTTGGTGAATATAGATCATCTGGCTCCTTCGCTAGTTCCTCCTGGCATCAATGCCTGAGATCCCATCCCCCGCGTTTTCATTTGGCTTTGGGTGTAGTTGTATTTGTCTGTTTCTCCCAGAACTGCCGCAGACTTCTGCAAACCCTCACAAACCTCTAGCGCTGTGGATACTGTGAATGGTCAGGAAGTGATGCCGACTGATAATGAATCCAGGGCTTAAGACACTACTGTTGAAGTGTAGGTACTTCGGGGAGCCCTTGGTGTTGTGGGGCCAGTGCCCAGGGAGCAGGCTGCTTGGTCCCCCATTGCTGGCTGATGTGTCGGAAGGTGGCCTGTAGAATCTCTTCCACAGTCAGGAGCCTTGTCTCTGAGAGCCTCTTGGAATATGGTGCCACAACTGTGGGGAGAGTGTTCTCTCTCACTTGGGGGATTGCTCACCTCTTGTGCCCCTGCTCTGGCCTCCCTTAGAAGGACCACAGAAACGCTTTAGCGTCCTAAACCCAAAGCCATTCCTTAAGCCAAAGGCACCTGCTCCCCCTCAAAATGCCGCAGGAGCCCAAAGTCCCCCCCCACCCAGAAGGCAGCACCCCACCACTACCACCACACCATCCTGGCCACATTCACCCAGCGCACTCAGCAGTTTGATGCCCCCATAGTCCTCTTTTTGAAAATAAACCCCACACCCAAGATGCTAACGCTTATCCCGACAAAAGGGTTTCAAGATGGAAAGAAAAAGCGCCAGGCGTACCCTTTCATTCTCCTTGAGGGAGCAGTTTCTTAGAACGGCAAACGAGGGCCTTCCCTTTTCCTTTTTCGGGGGGCTGTGCCCGCCTCTGTCCAGAATGCCTGCTCTCGGAAGTGATTCCTTACCCTCTTCTGCTTCCCACTCCTGTCTCCACTGTGCATCTGTGATGCCGTCTGGAAGCTCTCCTGACTAAGTTGGGGGAGCTTGGTTCACAATTCTTTATCTCAGTTCGCAGCGACCTGCTCTGTTTACTATGAATTTCTCTCAGAAACGACCTAACACTGCAGAGCTAGATGAGAGCAGTTGCTGATTCAAAGCCGGGAAAGGGTGTGTGTGCACACGTGTGTGTGTGTGCGCGCGCACGTGCATGTGTTCAGAACTTTGATCCTGGCTCTACGTAGTGAATATAATAATATGAAATGTTCGTCTGTCTCTCTCATGCTACCATAAGATGCCTGTTGGAACTGAATCAAAAGTGTCGTCAGATGGCACATCTAAACCGGATCTTAGTTTCTCCCTGCTGCTGTAACACATGACCACAGACTCATGGCTTAAACAACAGAAATTTGTTTTCTCATGGTTCTGAAGGATAGCTGTCCAGAATCAGTGTCACTGATTTGATTTGGGCCCCAGATCTAAGAGTCCGCAGGACAGTGCTCCCTGCAGAGGCTCGAGAGGCGAGTCCATGCCGAGCTTCCACCAGCTTCTAGGGGTTGCTGGCATCCCTTGGACAGTGGCCACAGCGCTCCTGTCTCTGCCTCCGTGGTCTCATGGCCTTCTCTTCTGTCTATGTCCAACCTCCCTCTGCCCTCTCTCTTACAGGGACACTTGGGACTGCATTTAGGGCACGCCTGGGCCATCCTGGATACCTTCCCCATCTCGAGAGCCTTAGCAATCCCATCTGCCATGCCTTTTGTCCATTGTGAGGTAACATTCACGGGCTCCAGGGATTAGTACGTGGATATCTTTGTGCAGCCGTTATTCAGCCTGCCATACCACCCGTCCCCATGATTCCCACACACGTGCGCCCCGCCAGGTTCTACGTAAGCTAAGGGCCAGCTTCTCTCCCTTTTGACTTCCTGAATCTGAGGGGACCAGCTTTCTCTCTTATCACTCTTTCTCTCTTATCACTCTTTGCCACCTGCAGTAGCAGCAGGGTCCTTCGTATCTTGCTTCTCCTGCCGTCAGGCTACCTTCTTTCCCCAGAACACGGGCCAGGTGGGGCAGGAGAGGTACAAGCCTTAAATGTGGCAGAGGCCAACTAGGCCAATTTTGTGGCCGGAGGAATCAAAGTGTTTTGCTTTGGCTTCACCTTGACTGGTGCAGCAGATGTCCTGCCTCTGCCTTTCTGTCGGTACTTCTAGACTGTAAAGTCAATGAGGACAGAAGGCAGCCCCTCAGCTTAGAGGCCCTGGTGCCCGGCAGTGTCCCAGGAGGCCAGACACTCAGCTACGTCTGTCCCCTTGCACACAGCCCTCGGACAGCCACGCGGCCCCTCCCTTCTGTGGTCAGCCACCACCAGCCAGTCCTCTTGCCAGCTTCCGCCACGGGCCACAGCGTTGTGCCATCCCTCCCGCTCTGCAGCCCTGTGTTGGGGCAGGGACCCTGTTCCCGTGGCCATTGTTAGAGCGCAGAGTTGAGCCCCGTGCCGCCTCTGGAGCTGCTGTCCTGCTAACACCACGTCTGCTCCTACCTGGGGACACCACTGGACGACGAGGGCTGGGGGAAAGTCGCCGTGCAGAAGCAGCCGTGCTGGGGCTGTCCCAACCAGTAACCACTGCTCCCGCGTCAGTCCCTATCTGCTTAAAGCAGAAGGGTGCGTGGGGAGAAGGGACTTCCGTGGAAGCCATGTGTAACTGGAAACTTCCTCTTTACTGAAAGAAGTCTTTTGAAAGGAAATGGAAACCAGTTGCAGAGGGTCCAGGGAAAGTTCTTCCTGGATTAACCTACGCTGTCTCCTTGTCGGGAATAACTCGGCCTCAACAAGAAGGGTCAGAACTTACAAAAAGGAAGCTTCACGAGGGAGGATGACCAGGATACAGTGGACAGTCTCGCTCTTTTCAATGACCCAGCCACAATTTTCTTTTTTTTTTTTTAAGATTTTATTTATTTGCCTGAGAGAGAGAGGGAACACAAGCAGGGGGAGGGGCAGAGGGAGAAGCAGACTCCCCCACTGAGCAGGGAGCCCGATGTGGGGCTCGATCCCAGGACCCTGGGATCATGACCTGAGCAAAAGCAGATGCTTAACCGACTGAGCCACCCAGGCGTCCGTATCCAGCTACAGTTTTCACTGTTTATGTACCGCTCTTAGACACAGACACTGTCTAGGGGTCTCTAGTGTCACATTTTTGTACATATATGCGCAACTGAAGATTTTTTTCAAACTCAGAATTGACAGAGGACTTGATTTGAGTAGGTACTGTGATAAACTAGAACACTTACGGAAGTGACTTGAAGAACAAAGAGTTTGATATAAGTCTAAAAATACATAGGGGACAAAAAAAAAGGGGGAAGGAGTTCTTGGTGAGTCTGGAACATTATTCAGCAAATATTTGCCAAGTACCTGCTATATGCCAGGCTGGACACTGGACACTAGGAAGCGGGGATACATCCATGAACCAGACCTGATCCGGCTTAGGAGTTTATAGTCTAATGGGGAGACTGGATGAATAAACACACAATTAAAGTTTGAGGTGTTAAGTGTATCAAAGAGATAGTTAATCCTGTCTTGGAAGATCAAGAAAGGCTCCCCAAAGTGATGCTGATGTTGAGAATCAAATGAGAAATAGCACTTGGTCCAGAAAAGGGACCGAGAGTCTTCTAGGCAGGAACAGAATGTGCAAAAGGCCTGAAGGTGAAAGCATCATGGCAGGTGGGTTATGGGGTGAGCCAAGAGACTGATGGCCGAACGAGCCAGAGAAAGGCAGGTAAGCGTGTGTAGGGAAGAAAAGATGGTGAGAGGGAGTGGGAGGAAGCATGCAGTCAGTCCGGTCCAGCTTTCTGCTAGCCAAGTGGCCCAGCCTCTGGGACATGGTAGCTGTTGTCACTGAAGGTAGGCTCCTGTCAGGCCAGTAAGCTGCCTTCATCCTTTCTGCTTTCTTCCTGAGACTCCAGGAGACCGCAGCCCCTCACTCAACTGCAAAACTGAGGGGAGGGCCTTCAGGAGGCTGTCAGGACCAGAGCCCACCATACTGTCTCCTGTCCCAGACCTGATTGTTCTGGGACTGAGAAGTTTGGGTCCTGAGAGTAGAAGGAAATCTTCCTTTCTAGCGGGGTTCTGGATCGATCCCCAGTCCAGAGCAGGTTATCACATTCACAGCTCTGATGTCACACCTTATAACCCAGGGAAAAAAGTTCCTGAGGTCACCCCCAATAAAACACAAGAAATTTTAGAAATCACCTGACAAGAAATGTCAAGCAATACTGACTGGAAATCAGACCACAGCAGCTGCTTTCCACAGCTGCATCCCATGTGGTGTCCGTGTCTGAACAAACTAAATGAGTCTAAAAATAACCAGGAATGTAAAACCCTTCAGGAGCCGGGTCTCTGAATGAGATCGCCTCAGAAATGAGGAGGGGGCGGTGGTTGTCTTTGGGCCATTTGATCAGTGGTCAGAGGTGGATCACCCAAGGAGCCAGAGACGTAACCCCGGGAACCTGCAGTTCCCCACTCATACTGACTGATCAAACCTCATGGTACCCATTTTACAGATGGAGAAAATACATGTTGGCATCTGAACTCTTTCAGACTAAGAATTCCTAACCTCAGCTATCATCCAAGCTCAGGTGACTTCCTAAGGAAAACAAAAGCAGTGAAGTAGTACAGAAATCAGTAACTGTTTCATTGTTTCCATCATATGTCTGAGCCAGTTAGCATGGAGGGAGTCTATGACACTTTCCAGAAGTAGCCCTTCTTTTAGGTGTGAAACCAAGACTGGGACTTTCTCCCCCAGTAGAGGAAAAAGTTGACGTCAAAAGGAAGCATGCTCCACCAAGACAAAAGCAAAAGGATTTTTTTTTTTTAACTGTGGGAAATTTTAAAAGATCTACCCATTTAGCTGCCCCCCCCAAAAAAATAGATATGCTTTCCGTGCAGAGAAAAGCACCAGCAAATTTTTTTTTTACTGCATTTTTCTAGTAAGAAAACGAATTTGTCCCTGGTTGTAGTAGCTCTATAGTAATTATAATAATAGTACCAGCAAATGCTGGTTAAGCACTTAGGCGGGAGGCACTGTGCTGAGAAAGCTCTTTACCATGGCTCATGACTCTTTGATCTTCACAAAATCTGGATGGAGGGTGATACTGCTGTTATCCCCATTTCATGACTGAGGAAGCGGGTGTTTGCAGAGGTGTAGAAATTTGCCCAGGGCACACCGCTTGTCCATGGGGAGGGCAGGGTCTGCCCCCACCAGCTGCGCTCCAGACTGGCACCCGGGATGCTAAAATGCCCCGGGTCTACTGTTTGTCACGGTGTGACACGAACTGTTTTGGTTTGGGGTTTTTTTTGTTTTTTTTTTTTTTGTTTTTTTTTTTTAGAATCTTCTCAGTTTCCTGTGGAGAGTTTTTCAGTTTGATTTGCATTTCACCCTTTCCATTATTGGTGATCTTCGGTGCTTCCTTTTCCTCCCATAACCTGGATGAATGGGCACTGAATCGGGGACCAGAAACCTGGGTGGGGGGTTTCACTTCCCCCACCAGCCACCTCCGTGATCTTGCCCGATTCGCCACCTCTTCAGGCCGGTTCTTTATCTGTAAAATGAAGTTGCAAGAGTTTAACAGGGATCTGCCCCTGTGCTAAGTAGCCTCCTTCCTCTCTCCCCTCTCCCCTCCCAACCTTCCAGCTCTTCTCCTTCCTTCGCTTCCTGGCCACTGGCAGGCCCTCAGGCCCTCCTTCTTATATGTGCCTGGCGGCCGGGGAAGTGGTGTGAGTGTGGGCTGTTGTCCAGGAGGCTCGGGGGACCCCGTCAGAGTGAGGAGGACAAGCAAGCTGATGTTGCTCAGTGGGAAGCACAGGTGGAGCTGGGACCCCTGCAAACTTACTGTAATGCTTTAACTCATCTTAACATGAAAAACTTTAGGGGCGCCTGGGTGGCTCAGTCGGTTCAGCGTCTGCCTTCAGCTCAGGTCATGACCTCAGGGTCCCAGGATTGAGTCCTGCATCCGGCTCCCTGCTCAGCAGGGAGTCTGCTTCTCCCTCTGCCCCTTTCCCTGCTTGTGCTCATGCACGCTCTCTCTCTCTGACAAATAAATGAATAAAATCTTAAAAAAAAAAAAAAAAAAACTTTAAAGGCCTTCAGGAAATGAGGGTAGTTTGGGACAGAATTCTTTCATTCTGAACACCAGTTCAGGGAAACCTATGTTTTAGTCCAAAGGCTTTCTAATCCTGAAGTTTGGTGGTTTCTGCTCACCATTAGGAGACAGTAACATGCCTTCCATGGCGGGATGGAAGTCGAGACAGGAAGTGAATGGTACCCGGTGAAGAGAATTTTTTTCGATACCATTTTTAGTTGACTTTTCCTTTAATCACAGAACATAAAATTATTTGTTGTCAGAGGATGTGTACATTGTATTAGACTTGAGTATTTGCAATATTTCAGGGAAACTGGGATTTATCTAATCCAGGTCAGCTGGTTAGGGTTCTGTGGAAGTAATCACCACCCGTATCTCGGCAAAGTAATGTTTTCCCAAATCATTTTAAATTTGGGGTCACTCATTTCACTAGTGTGTGTTTTTAAGTATTCCTTAAAGCTCTGGTCGCGAGCACGGGAGCAAGTTCTATGAGGCATTGAAATTTCCTCTTTAACTTCCTCAGACTTCTTTTCAGTTTGCTCTTGATTGTGTGGGAATTTGTGGGCCTTGATCACAGAAAGTCAGCCTCTAAAAGAGGAAGACTGCTTTAATGTCACTATCATAACACTCATTTTAGACTACAGAAATGATGTGCATCACTGGGGCCTTCTCGTCCCTATTTTAGGTGTGTTTCCAAGGAGTAGGTTGGTTGTCATGGTTTAGAAGAACTTCGCTGTCAGGATGCAGTCATACTAGAGGGAGGCACAGGCCGTCTGTCCCTCGGGGAGAGGTCTTGAGGAAATAAATAGCCTCCCCGCCAGAATGTTCCAGATGTTTCTCTGCTAGCAGAACTCAAGGTCAGATCATTTCTCAAGGCCCAGTTCTAGAATTCGCAGCTTCCAGAACTGAGGTTTGGTCTTTTAGGTAAACGTATGGAAAGGTAACATGTTGTCTTTAGGCTTTCCCCAGTTGTACTAGTCAGGAAGTGGCTGGAGAAAGGGGCTAATTCCCTGTCCGCACCTTCTCAGCATCTTCCTCCTTCTCTTCCCTGTTCATACTGCACCCCCACCATTCCCCCTTTGTCGGTCATCTCTGAGTGCGCAGGTGAGGTTAGAATTCTGGAATGCAGGCATAAGAGCAGCTCCCATTTATTATTTTTGTCCAGAGTTTTTCTGTCCGTGGCTGTGGCAAGGCCTGGGTGAGAATTCTTCCCTACCCTGGAGTCCCAGAGTGGCTTCCAAAATTAGCACAGAGCACAGAGGACTCTTGGAATGGACAGCACGTGTCCAGCGAGGCAGGCGCAGTTCTGTTGGTCAGGAAAGGGCACTCCACTCAGATTCCGTGTCCCCTTGTTCCTGGGAGTGCCACGGCCCTCGCCATGGCAGCTGAGCGCGGAGCCCTTGGGAGCCAGCTCCCGTCACACCCCTGTTATCCAACAGCGTGCCTGCTGGATATCTTACAAAGTGTAATGCTCCAGGCCCAGGCAAGATGTGTCATAAAGGGGAGACTTCGCCTGGTGGATAAAAATGCGTGTGTTCCTGCCCACGTTTTGCTATTCGCTGAGTTTTCAAAAACTTCCCAACCACACCCCTCAGTCTTTGTTTGAGTTCAAAGGGAGGCAGTGCTAACAGGATGTTTCTGGGCTCAGTCCCTGTTGCATTCAGGAGGCTGACTTTGGGAGGCCCACTCCAGAGACTTCATCTGAGCCCGGTGCCCAGGCCACCCCCCTTGGTGGCGAGTGTCCCATCACGGGCTCAGCGGTGACAGAGATGATTAAGACCAGTTTCTGCCCTCAAAGAGTCCTTTCATGAGTCTTTCCCTGTTTGCGTGGAAATACAGTCTGAGAGATGAGGTTGGGTTTCAGGTAACCCCCCCCCCAAAAAAAAACCCACAGATTGATTTTCTTTTCTGGAGCAGGAATCTGAGCAGGAACACCGTCAGGTTCGGTAAACTGTTGCAGGGTAGTCGTTCCCGGCCTCGGCGGGCTTCAAGGGTCCCACTAATCCTAGGTCACATGCCCCAGGGGGTAGTCCTTTCTCCTCCCTCCACTTTTAAGCACTTCTGGCCCACATAGATCCCTGGTTTAAAGGAGAAAAATGAAAGAAAACCTGCTATCCGCCCCAAATACCCCATGTCTTAATGTTTTTGTCTTAAACCAATGGTACCCCCCTTGGCTGACCCAAAATCCGCATCCCCATTCCCTTGCAGCCACCCAGTGAGCTCAGTATGCCAGCAGACGAGCTCAGCCCCGAATCATCACCTTCTCCAGAAAGACAAACAAAAACAGCCGGAAGGAGGGAGGGCGGACTGGGGGGGGGGGCGGGGGGCATAAATGATGCATCCAACTACAGTCTGGAAGGAGGCCTGCGCTGCCGGGCCTCCTCGGTGGGCGTGCGTGCGTGCGTGCGTGTGCGCGTGAGTGTGTGAGCACACATTCGCCGCCCGCCGCACCCCCGCCCCGGGCCGGCGGCCTGTTGGTGTCGGAGTGAATCGCTAATGCGCGCGTCGCCATGGCGACCAGGGGAGCGGCGGAGCTAAAAGCGGCAGCCTGGGCCTGCCCGCCTCCCCCGCCGCAGCCCACCCTGGGCGGCGCGGATTCTTTGTCTCGCTCGCTCGCTCGCTCGCTCGCCTGCCCTCCCCTCTCTCCCTTCCTCCTCCTCCTCCTCCCCCCTCCTCCCGGCCTTTGTCGCCGCACCCCCCACCCTCCCACCGCAGGTGCCGGGAACCCAGGGCTGGGCCCGCCGCTCCCCTGTGTTATTCTTGGGGGGCTTAATGCCTCCCTTGAAACCAGTCTTTTAAAGAGAGGATTAGGAGCCCAAGAGCTGTTCGTCCTCACCTGAACGCCTGGCCCTTGGCTCGTTGCCCCTCCGGCTGCGGCCCTCGGTGGCCACCCTCTCGCAGGACGGTGGAGGTCCAGGGCTGCCCATCTGGCTCTCGACCCCCGCCCCCAGCAACAAGGAGCTGGGAGTCCTGCAGACTCACCTCATCCGCGCCTCGGAGAACTCTCAGCTACGGGAGCTCCTCATCTAGATGGGGTAGCTGGCCCCAGATCAGAATGCCCAGGGCTTGAGCTCTTGGGGTCGCGGCTGTGGCATTGCTGTGTAAGCAGAATGCCCCGTGCTGCTGTTAGCATTCAGAGTAACCTAGTAATGAGGGAGGCTGGGGTCACAGTAATGACCCCCAACCCATAAACCTTTCTGTTATCCATCTTTGTCCTGGGGCAGCGTAATGGCTCTACTGGATGGCGCAGCTTAAAATGTCAGATTGTCTTAGATTCTAGCTGATCCCCCCTTCTAAACAACAAGGAAGGAAGGAAGGACATTTGTGGCACACCATGGTTTAGATTTTTAAAATCAACATATTCTGAATACTGTCTTTATCCAGCATATAGTTAGCCATTTGGCTTACCTGTACGTTTTGGAATGATCTCTTCCATGTTCAGAAAGTCACACTCAGTATTGAAATGATGAAACACTGATTAGCAGGACCCTCGGACCACTCTTGTCAGGAGTCAGTGGCTCTCTAGCACCCTGTTGTTTCCACCTCCATCACTCCTACCTCAGAGATGAAAGGTATGCCTTTCAGATGGGTATGGCTGAGGTTTCAGCTCTAAAGTCACCCCCTGATAAATGAGTATATCATGTATATTCACACAGAACAATGTCTGGATTGCTACACAGTAGTGGGCTGGTAGGTGCTTACAGGGAGGGGAGCTGAGAGGCTAGAGGAAAGGGTGGAAGGAAAATGTACTTTTCCCTGGTACCTGTGCATGTTATGGCATGTGCATTTACTGTTGGCTTTTTAAAATTAAATGTGATATTAAAATTTAATATCACTTCCTCAAGAATGCTTTCCCTAATTCCCCCCAAAGTAGGCCTATGTGATTCCATAGCATACTGCAGTTTTTATTTTCAGCGCTCTTCCCAGAGTTCTGGCTAAACAGTGGTAAGTGTGTAAGTCGTGTTATGTAAGTCTCCTCGCCAGACTCTAAGCTCCATGAGGGCAGGAGCAAGGCTTGTCTTAAACACCGCCATGTCTTCAAGGGCTGGCTCGCACTCAGCACTTAGTATGTATCTGTTGATTACAGAGATGAGGAGAAGTGGACAGGAGGCTACTGACCGAGTGATGGGGCCAGGGAGTCAGTAGGGGTGCCCATGGCTGTGGCCCTCCTCCAAGCTCAGTGACCCTCCAGAGGCTCAACCCCTCCTGTACCTAGGACTTCTGTGACATTGCTCCAAATAATTCCTGTGTCTAGTCTGTGTTTGCAAGCATCACAGTAAGAAGCTTGATCAGTCAGTTACCTTGTGTATCAGGGGACTGCTGTCACTTGCCAGAGCAGTTCCCAAGCAGCTGATTGGAGCAGTTGTCTGAGGCAAGACAGGGTCAGCTCTTCCTCCGGTCATCGCCAGGGAGGGTGACACTCTGGGGCTCCCCAGTGCCGGGCCTGCAGGAGACCACCGGAGGCTTTAAAGCGCCAACATTCAGGGGCCACACACAGACCAAGTGAGTCAGTCTCTAGTGGGAGAGCCTGACCCCTGTGAGGGCCCTTGTTTTGCAGATGCTTCTCTCATAATCCTGGTGTACAGTCAAGGTTAAGAAGTTTCCCAGAGCAAGCAGGGACACTTATGCTCACCAAACCCAGAGATTTTATTTCAGCCATAAAGCTGATGCTAATGCACTTTAGCCTGGACAAAGAGATTATTTGCTTTAGCCCACCTCAGATTGGTTCAGTGCTGCCCAGAGAACCTCTCCCTTGCTTTGCCTTAAAAAGCCTGCAGGTCCCCTTCGGTGACAGTTGTTTAAAACAAATATGTAACCATCTAATCAGGACACGAACCATTTTTCAGACTTGCCCAGGCAGCAGTGACCTAAATATTACTCAGGGCGTCTGACTTCCAGCCCCAGAGGAAGAGTGTATTTGGTTTGATTGTTTTCATGCTAATGAAGTTGAGCCAGTAATTCAAGGTCCCCATCGGAATGGCTAGAATCATTTGATGCTATGAAACAGTTCTTTAGACAGAAAGCAGTGGTATAGAGTTATTATGGAATTACTCATTTTTTCAGCGGAGTCAGTTATGCACTCATTCAATCTAATCTGCAGTGCCATCTTTTTAATTGTTAGGAGATAAAGACTGGAGGGGTTGATGGAAATGCGTTGGCCCTTCTACACCAGCCACCATAAATCTTTGGAAAGTGTGACTAACCCATTTATGAGCCAGCAGGTGTAGTGGCAGATTGTTCTGCCCTCTCTCCCAGGTAACCCTATAGGCAGTAAATAAGGCCTGTGTTAGAAACCACTAAAGCTGGGGTGCCTGGGTGGCTCAGTCATTAAGCGCCTTCCTTCGTCTCAGGTCATGATCCCAGGGTCCTGGGATTGAGCCCCACATCGGCCTCCATGCTCAGCGGGAAGTCTGCTTCTCCCTTTGCCTCTCCCCCTGCTTGTGTTCCCTCTCTCACTGTCTCTCTATCTGTCAGATAAATAAATAAAATCTTAAAAAAAAAAAAAAAGAAAGAAAGAAAGAAACCACTAAAGCTGTACACACACAGCAGGGAAATCTGCCTAAACTGCCCCCTTAAGACACTAGCTGCAGTTGACTTTCTCCCAGAAGTGTGCGTGCACTCAAGGTCAAGGCAAATTTGGCTAGCAGCCACCTGGGGATACTTCCCATTGAACTCTCTTAGGAGACCAGGGGTGCAGGGAAATAAAGGTTGCTCTGGGGACTCTTAAGTTAGTGATCCTGGAGAGAAGTGGAACTCCTTGTGGCAGGCAGGAAAAGCACAGATGTGGTCTCGTTTCCAGCCGGCACGCTCCAGCCGGGATCCAAACAACCCATTTCTGGGAACTTAAAATAAAAAGTAAGAGAGCAGTCAAATAGACTGGAAACCCCATGGGGCCTTTGATGTGCCTACCAGCAGCAGCCTGGTGAGTGGTTTCTGTGATGTGGGATTCCTGAGCAAGAACGACTGGACCACCGCCACCGGTTCCTCTCTCATTAGAGGGCCAGAAATAGATGCCCCGTCCCAGGAAAAGGGAAATAAGGCTGCATGGAATGTTTCATCTGTTGGAATATTGTTCTGCGCTGCCTGACAAGATTACTGAGTTCTCAGTTCTATAGCAGTGGCATTGAGTAAGAGTCTGAAAATTGAAGCATTATGTACTCGCTTAAAATAGCAAATGCAGAATAGAAAAACCAGAGCTGCTAAGAAGTGTGCAGAACACATTGATAGAAAGGCCTGCTTCGCCTCTGTTATTAGCAGCATGAAAGGGTGTATTGGAGCAGGGGGCAGATTTTCCATCAAAAGCATTTGTGTGGTCAAGGCTTCTGTACCACAGCGAGACAGGGAGGACATTTTTTAGCTAACATCACTGAGTGCAAATCCTTCTGTCCTCAAACAGGTGGTAGAAAGTAGGCAGTTTGTTTCTTTTCATGTCAGTGTTCTGGAGTTGGTTTATGAGATGGTTGCTTCTGTTTTAAACTCTGAATTCCCCTCAGAACAAAAATCCCCAGTTACTTGCTACCTAATCAAATATTCTCTGTCGTGGGTTACAGTTGCCTGGATGGGCAGCAAAATTTAGTAAGAGTGAGGTGGAAAATGTATAAAAAGAACTGTGTCATCATCCTTTGTCAGCTCAAATGGGATTTTTTAAATACCCAAGAACAGGTTGAAGGGGCCTTCTGGAATCAACACGCCTCGCGTCAGCATGGCGCTAGAAGGCGGCAGAATTGTTTCTGAAGGGGCTGGCCTGGCTGTGGTCAAGCACAGAGACCTTGAGACGCAAGGGCTCTTTCAGCCTCGTCTCAGTTGCTTGACCAACCTTCTAAGCGTAAGACCCTCCTTCACTGAAGCACTTTACTCTGTTAACAAGTGTTCATGGAGCGCGTAGTTCGCACCGGGCGCTGCACTGTAGCCACTTGGCCTACATTTTCTCCAGCTCTCCCCGGAGCCCTTTGGAAGAGAGGGCATCGCCCCCTGTTAATTATCCCTGTTTAGGAAACTGAGCTTCAAAGGATCAAGTCATCGGCCAGGGCCAGACAGCTGGGCTTGAGCCCGAGACCAGCTGATTCCAAACTGTACGTTCCCTCCACCGTGCCCTATTGTCTCCTCTCTTGATTAAGCAACATTCCCAGAAATACAAAGAAACCTGTGAGTCCCCAGGCCCTGTCTCTTCCCTGCTGCTGCTGCCAGCTGGAATGTCCAGCTCCCGGGTGTGGAATGGTATCCAGGAGAAATCACTTTTTCCAGGCTCGGCAAGCAGTGTGATGTGCTAACAAGCCCCTCCACGGGGACTTGAGCTAACCGTTCAGTAAAACAGAATTTGCTGATTGTCGTGGGACACTGACCAGTTTCCAAATTCCTATAGGTCACCACAGTTTGAGAGAACGTGGCCTTCTATTTGCAAAGCCAAGACTTCCTTTAATTTTTCTTTTGGTTTTTCCTTTGTCATTTGTACTCGCACTCCTAGGAATACCGTTTTAAAAGTTTGGACATTTTCAGATAAAGATAGCTGGAAAGAATGTTAGGCAAAGTGTTAAAAATAAATAAATAAATAACATGTAATAAAGGGTTTGAAATGCTAAGGGACCCTGAATGGGGGAGAGTGGTGGCCAGGTTGGGGAAGGCACGGTTGCTCAGGTGGGCCACTGGACTTGCCATGGTAACACTGCATTCTCAAATTCTAGGCTTATTTGCCTAAGAGAGCACAGCACCACAAGGATATCGTAAATAATGATTTTATAATAGAATCCACACTCAGAGTAGGTTTTGTGAAACAACTGGGATGTACGACCTACCTTACTGAATGTGTTTCCCTTAAGAAAAGGAGAGCAGTGAGGTGTGTACCCCGAGTCTACATCATGTGTAGTGAAACCCTTTGGATCATTTTCCAGAGGAAGTCAAGCTCAACAGCGCCCACAACCAAACTCATTGTCTCGGTCTCCTCCATCACCCGAGCTGAGGAGCTGGGGATGCGGTAGACTCCCTTTCACCATCTCCGTTCGTCAGTCACCAGATTCTTAGTCTGATGCGTCTCTCGGACTCGGCCTGTCTTTGCCCTCTTACCAACCACGGTCCTCGCTCCCTCGATTGGCAGTTTCTCAACTGGTCTTCCACCCTGAAAATGCCCACATCACCTGCTTCCTGTCAGTTTCATGTCCATCCCGCTCTTGATGAAGTGCCTGCTGTAAGCCAGACACTCTTTTGGGCACAGGGGATATAGAAAGATCCGTTTCCTAGGGAGCTTACCTTTGGAGAGCAGGTGGGAGCCATAAGAAGACAGTAAGCAAGCCAAGGATCAGACAAGTCAGTTTCAGATAGTGGTACCTGCACTGAAGAGAACAAAGTATCTATCTTCCCAACTTAAGAATCCTTAAGGGGGCAACTGGGTGGCTCAGTTGGTTAAGCATCTGACTCTTGATTTCGGCTCAAGTCATGCGAGCCCCGCATTGGACTCTGCTTCTCTCTCTCCCTCTGCTCCCCACCCCCGGCTTGCGTGGTGTCTCAAAAAAAAAAAAAAAAGAATCCTTAAGGGTGTCCCCATTGCCTACAGATTTAAGCCTAAACTCCTTGCCTGTCATCTACCCCAGCCTATCTGGCTGACCTCAGCTCCCACCACCCTCTCCCAAACACATGTCAATCCTGAACTCTGGGTCCGTGCTTGCCATTCTCTGCACATTCTCTAAATTTCACTTTTAGGTCAAGCTTCAAGGTCATCTCTGTCTGGCCAAGTCCTCCTCACCCTCTGAGGGGCAGTTCATTGCCTCCTGTCTGTAGAGTTCTGGAGATCTCTGTGTGCTGGGGAAGCCCAGGTAGGCTTCAGGGAGGAAGTGCAATTAGAGCTTGGAAGGTGCTGTCAAAGGAAGAAGACACAGTGGGCTGTGCTGAGCGAGCCCACCGGGCTCACTGTGAGCCTGTCCTCACAGGGAGTCGGCACCATGTCCCAGAGCTGCCTTCCTCCACGTCTGTGGGGAGTCATGTAAGGAAGAGAAAGCAGTTCTAGATCAGGGCGCTGAGAGCCCGGTTTGTTCAGTGTGTCTGCCTGGCAGCGCCATGGGCCACACAGCCCAAGAGGCTGCACCCTCTCAACAAAGCCCTCCCAGTCAGCTTGGACTGGGCACTTCCCTCTCCTCTGTGCTTCCTGCACACACTCTCTAGCCCTTTAATGGAGCCAACTCCAGTGCCTTAGATAGTAGCCATTTGTTCATTCCACCTCCCTCCCTGGGCTGTGGGCTCCTTGAGAATGGAGCTGTTTTATTATATATCTTGCAGGCCAGAGCCTTAGACACAGATGTTTGATGTAGAATGTGTTTCAAGACAATGCTGAGGAATTCCTGAGCTTGTGAATAGACTTCTTTTTCTTGGCTCCCAACACTGTTCAAAAATGCCATCCTTGGGGCGCCTGGGTGGCTCAGTTAGTTCAGCGTCTGCCTTTGACTC